AAAGAGGATCTCTTGAGCCCAAGAGTTGGAGGTTGCTGTGAACTAGGATGTCCTGGCACTCTACCCAGGCCAACAGCTTGAGATTCTGTGACACCTCCGCACTGTACTCTGGCCCTGGCAACAGATCTTGTCTCCAAAAACAAACAAAAAACTCCAAACCTATTAGCCAAATAAGCACTTTTTTTTTTTGTTTTGTTTTTTTCAGACAGTTTCAAGCTGTCACCCTGGGTAGAGTGCAGTGGCGTTACAGCTCACAGTAACCTCAAACTCTTGGGTTCAAGTGATTCTCTTGCCTCAGCCTCCTAAGCAGCTGGGATTATAGGCGCCCACCACAATGCTCGGCTATTTTTTTCTTGGTTGTAGTTGTCATTGTCTTTTTTTTTTTTGAGACAGAGTCTCACTTTGTCACCCTTGGTAGAGTGTTGTGGTGTCACAGCTCACAGCAACCTGAAACTCTTGGGTTCAAGTGATTCTCTCGCCTCAGCCTCCCAGGCAGCTGGGACTACAGGTGCCTAACACAATGCCTGGCTATTTCTTGTTGCGCCTGGACTGGTTCAAACCTGGCTCCCTCAGTGTAGGTGGCTGGCACCGTAACCACTGTGCTACAGGCACTGAGCCTGTAGTGGTCATTGTTATTTAGCTGGCCGGGGTCCAGGTTTGAACCTGCCACCCTCAGTGCATATGGCTGGTGCCATAACCACTATGCTATGGGTGCAGAGCCAAGCACATGGTTTTTTCTAATGATTTTTAAAGGCTATTTATATCATGTCTGTTTTGTTAAAAAAATCATGCCCTGTAGAACTTTCACTATGTTTATACATAGATATATAAATCTTAAGTCGCAGTTATTGCTAACATTGTATTTTGCAGTGTTAAACATTTATTCACTGATTTTGGAGCTTCTGGTCAAAGTTTGGAGATGAAAGTTTAAGTTCTCAAACACTTTCATAGACCCTTGAAAAGTATGCAGGACCTGGGCTTTGTTCAGCTAATACCCAGTAGAGTCAAACTGTCCTGAGTGGGACCTAAAAATCTGAATTTTTGACACTATCTCCAAGAACAGTGCATTTTACAAACATTTGGACTAGGATGAATACAAGAAATGACTAAAGCTTCTCATTATGTGCTAACTTTGAAATAATGTGTTACCACCTAAACATTTAAAGATTAGTCAAGGAGCTCTTAACTGCAAAGCCTTATGAATAGTAAATTGCGTTTTAATGTTAATGCCACAAGGGGACCACCCTTGCTCAGAAGTTCCTCCAAGAAAAGACCTTAATGATTTAATATATCATCCAAAGGTTTTTAAACTTTGGAGCCTTGGAGACCAGTGCTAACGTCTGTCTCAAAAATCAGTTTCATAGGACCTTGTAACAAACAGTACCAGCCTGCCTTCTGGGATTAACATTACAGTTATGGTTTGAATGCCTCCTCCAGAAACTCACTTTGGAATTTATTGCCAGTACTGGGATGTGGGGCCTTATGATTAGGTCATTGGGCTCAGCCTTCATTAATGGAATGGTTAAGTTTGGTCCCCATTTGCTCTCTACCCTTACACTGTTACATATCAAGGCCCTTGCCAGATGCAGTAACTACTGGGCCTCTAGAACTATGAATCAAATCTCTTCTGAGACAGTCTGTGTTGCCCAGGCTAAACATTAGCCTAGCTCTCAGCAACACCAAACTCCTGGGTTTGAGTGAGTAGCTAGGCTCCTGCCACGATACCCAGCTAATTTTTCTATTTTTAGTAGAGACATTTTCTCATTCTTGCTCAGGCTGGTCCCAAACTCCTGAGCTAAGGGAATCTCCCCTCCTTGGCCTACGATTATAGGTTTGAACCTGAGCTAAGGGAATCTCCCCTCCTTGGCCTACGATTATAGGTTTGAACCACCTTGCCCAGCCCAAATCTCTTTTCTTTATAAAATTACTTAGGGGTACCCTGAATGGATTAGCACTATCTGCCAGCTTCAGAGCAATTACCATTGGCTCAGTTTTTCACTAGTCCTCCACATGCCTATTTCCAGACCTAGTGGCTATGCCAACTCACTTGTCTGACCTTTATCTTTGACACAGGCTGGCAGTAAATTTCGTAGTCATGTCACTTAATGATGGGAATGTGTTCTAAAAAACATAGTCATTAGGTGTTTTTGTTGTGCTATGTATACTTGAAACCTAGAATGTGCAGCCCACCACACACCCAAGTGGTATGGCATCACCTAGAGGTTCCAGAGCACACAACTATACAGCATAATAATCCGAAAAACGCCGGCAAGTTCAAAAACGGAAACAATCCCGGCCCTAAAAAACAATTGCCAATCCAACCAACCAAAAATTAAATCCAAGTCCCCAAAAAACGTAAGCCACAAAAACTGAAGCCAAAAACCCAAACCCCAACAAAACAAAATTTGAAAACCCCTGGAACCTCCCCCCCTTCCAAAAAAAACCTGGTAACAAAGGGGGAATCAAAGGATTATTGATCAACTTGCTGTCAAGTTCCTCCTCCACAGCTAAGAGTGAAAGGCCAGTGACCACCCGACTCCTGAGGTTGCTGGACAAATGCTCACAAAACAATTGACCTGTGATGGGAAAGCCCATAAAAGTTTCTTGGCCAAAAAGTTCAGGCCCCTCCTGATAAGCTTTGGGTGTAGACATATCCTCCACTACCCATTTTTAGAGTCCCTTCATATGCACAAGATGGACTGTATATAAAGTAGAATCTGCAAGCCAGGTGTTTCTGAAAACAAGTTTTATTTAAATAAGGGTTTAAATACATTACACATAACATTAAAATTGAAGGGAAAAAAACCAAAAACCAGTCTTGTTACTTCACATGGCATTGGGCAGCTGTTGCTAGTAAGTTGCAAGCTCTACAACTAGCTACATAGCTGATACATCAGTTTTGAGATTTGTTCCCTTGTCAAAAGTTTAACTGATAGAAGGTTGGGCTCACATTCTGATGTTTGGACATCCCTTAGCTAGGATATGTCTGGTCAAAAAGACCTTGGTGGAAAGCCAGATGTCCTTATCACCCTACTGGAGGGAAGATGGCCTAAGTTCTGCCCACCTGGAGATACCAGAGGATCTTTCCTTTACTACCAAAGACTTCCTCTAGAGGTACAACTGCATTGCTGCCTTACCCCATCCTCTCAGATTCACCGAGGGTTGTCCAGGTGGTGACATTCTCTTAGGGCTGGGAACTCTGCAGAGGGAGAGGCGAGGAGCTTCTGGCCAGACATAGCCGTCTGTGATCTTAGGGCTCTGGGCTTGGCTGAAACACTATGTTATTGCTTTGTTTCAAGGCTTGACACTGCCAGGTGCCTCCTGCTTGACCTCTGTTTAAATGAGGGACTTCAAGACTAGACAGCATGGCTCTTTTCAGTTTATTGCATGAAGGAGTTACACTAGTCCAAGTTAAAAGCAGACCCCAAATGGTTACATTATACAAGCTGTGAGGTTTTTAAACTTGTGACAAGGGACAGAGGGAAAATTCTACTCATTGCAAGGAAATCCTCACTTAAGCTTCAGTGAGCCACAAGCACTTAAAACCCATGAACCTTCAGCTGATCGTCCTTAGCCAGTCCAATCTGCAAAGAGAAGAGGGCAAAGTTGAAACAAGAGATGGCAAGAGTCAAAGTCCCCATTTCTACCAATAATCCTGTCTTCCGCTACTACACCGGCCAAGACAAACCGAGGTGTATACCTCAGAGCACACAATGGCACAACTGAGGAGACGCAGTTAAGAACCACCTTTTCAAACATACTGCACCTTCTAGGCTTCAATCAGAGAATGTGAGGAAAGAGACCAGGTATTAGAAATCTCTTCAATTATTTTAAGAACCAATGTAACAAAATTCTAGTTCCACCTAAAAAATCCCTACGTCCTCATAAATATAGAAATCCACCATCTGGCTCATCTATGCCTGTTTGCCATTTAAAGCAGATCCACATAGACAGTAAACTTAAGGGAGACAAATCCCTTCTGCCTGTGTATTTCAAAACTCAACAGTTGTTTTTGTTAGCCTTACAGATCAAATTTCTGTGTCTCCAGTGGAAATTTAATAGACTAGGCAAGACTTGAGATTTGCCAGCAAAGAGGTCCAAAGGTAATTCAGTGACTGAACTCACCTCTACAAGGAACTGGCATATGTTCTTGCGCTGGTCACCCTGTAGCTGAATTACTTCTCCATATTCTGGATGCTCAATTACAGTACCATTGCAGGCAAATTTCTACAGGTACAAAGGAAGCAAAACAAATGAGGCCAACAGCACCAAAGCATCCAACCATCTCCGTTGGTAAGGGCTACAACGTAGTTAGCACCCCCGTGTGGACAAATGAAACGCGACTTCCCTATAATCGCCATTGAAGACTTACCTTCTTAAACGCCTTCACTAATTTCTTTTTATCGTAATCATCAGCGATCCCTTGAACAGTAGTAAGGGTCTTCCTGCCGTTTCTCTGTTGAATTCTTATATGGATATAATCCTCAGTGCCAGCAGGAAGCAGGTCATCACCCTTACTTGCATCAGCAAAGGGGTCTGGGAAAAAAGGTCAAGCTTGCTAAGAGCGGCCAAGGTTCGGATGACCACCACCCAGCCCCCACCGCGATCTTGTGCGAGTGCAGAAACCAAGGCTGAAATCTTCAGAGCTCAGGTCAGGTCGGATGAGTCCTTTGTTGGCTCTCCCTGAACAGGTCAGTCCGGACGGCCGGCTTCCCCAGGCACGGACAAACATGGGCCTCCCGCCCTCCCTCCCAAGCTGATCACGTGTCAGGGCAGCCGGAGCTGGCAGGAGGCGCCCCACCCTGCTGATGCAACCCGCCGGAACCCAAGCTCTCGAGGCGGAGCCAAGCCTCTCACCCCCATTGGCGCGCCCGTTTGCCACTTAGGGCTGGCACCGCCTTTCCCTCCAGCTCGGGGACAACAGCGAGCGACGTAACGGACATGACGCACAGGCGGCGGGAGGGGACGGGTGTGGCCCGAGGAGGCCCGGGAGCCATTAGTAAATGCGCCACCCGAGACACTGAGCCCGCCCAAGGGTTGACCTCCCGCCCGCTCCTTCCGGTCGCGCTCAGGGCCCGACCCCAGCACCTAGGCCTTGGGCCCGTGGCCCCGCGAGCCCGGACGCCTCTCTCTCGTCTGAACTTACGAAGGCCCGGAGCGCTCGGCAGCTCCCTGGGTCCTGTCTCCTGGCCCGGGACACATGGCTGCCCTACTTGGGCTCACGACCTTTCCCATGGCTTACCGAAAGAGTGGAGGTTCTGGATAGCGGACATACGATACGATTCCTTTTCCTCGGTGGAAACGGCCTGCGGAAGGCGGCGGCGGGAGAAGGCGGGCGGGGGGGACGGAGCGTCGGGAAGCGAGGGGGCTCAAGGGGGAGGCTGCTGAGTCCTCGGCGGCGGCTCAGTGACTGGGGCGGAGGGGCGGCGCTTGTATTCACTTATATAGCCGCCCCTGTGACGCCAGCGCGCTGCCCTCACGTCCCGGCCCCACCCACGGCATCGTGCCCTAAGCGCCCAGGCACCGCCTCTTCCAATTGGTCCGGGGGTGGGACACGGGACGACGCTTGCGCAAGAACTCTTGCTGCGGTAGTGAGTCCTCTGGACTCAGGGAAAGATGGGAGGGGGAGGGAAAGCGTTCGTCGGTCTCGGCGCCTGCGCAGTGCAGGTGGACTGTGTCTGGGCTGCGGGGAAAGCTGGCAACCGTTTCGAACGCGCCTGCGCACTATGTCTTCCCCTTTCTTGACCCTGTTGCAGCCCCGCCTGGTTGAAGAGGGGTTTTTCATGCGGTAGGTGGGATTTAGATACTGAGCCTACCAAAACAAACTCAGATCTTTGCTGTGTCGGACCCACCTACTCAGTCACGGAAGGATTTAGGGCAGCACTTTTGATTAATCAACATACAATGTAATCAAAGCCATAACCTCATCATTTAGATTTATAAATTAATCTATTCTGAAAATGGGTTAATCTAATCTAAAATTCTCATGTAGATTAAATTAATCCATCTAGGGAAAGAATATCCCGTCTCATTAACATGATGAATTCAAGGGACTAGAAACTGGGTCTGGGGCCTGAGGATACAGGCGCCAGAGGGTGTCCCTGTGTCGCACAAGCTGTGTGGAGTGGGTTGACCCTTCCCAGGGCTTAGACGAAGTTATTTTCCTCACAACAGTTAATTTTTCTTGCTCTCAATTTATTTACTGCAGCATTTTCAGTTGCAGAGGTAAATAAATATGTAGGGTTGTGACAAGAGACCAGAGGTTTTAGGTCGAAAGGCCTCCAGGGCCAGGCAGGTAAGATCAGGGCTTGCAGACAGCCAGGTGTGCTGGAATGGTGTGGGGTGGCGGCTGGGTCAGAGGGAGAGGCTGCCTTGGCTACTCACCACCGACGCATTGTGCCAGATCTTTTTCAAGAGACCTGGAAATCCGTATGTTTACATAGAATCTCTCAATTTTTAAGTATTGTCAATAAATTGAATTTTTGGAAAAACACTATACAAGCCAAACAAACAAAATGTGTGCCCCATGGACTGCTGGTTTATGCCCCCAGCAGTCAAGATGACCACCATCATAGAGGTAAAGGCTATGGGGAGAGAGAGCCAATAGATGACAGATTGTGATAGGTGTCAAGAATGAGATAAACGAGATGATGTGACAGTAACAGGGCCAGGCTGCTTCTTCAGATGGAGTGGTCAAAGAAGGTCTGTGAGGAGGTGACATCCTAGATGACACTTAGAGGGTGGGAAAGAGTCCACTGTGGGGCAGGGCCACCAGAGCCCACCAGAGGGAAAAGCCCTAAGGGAGAAAAAACTTGGTGTACTCGATAGTTTGTTTTGATACTGTATTTACTAAATGCTGTAATCTGTTAATGAATAATTTGGCTTCCTTGACATCAGGAAAGGGGAACCATGGCTCTAAGGCATGATCACCCCAGTCTCACGGTCATCTCAGTTTGAGAAGCTGAGGACCAATTTTGCCAGCCTCAGAACCTTTACACTACAGACAAGGTTGTGCTTGACAGGGTTTGGGGAGATAGTATGAATGAGTCACTGAGGTCTTTGCCAGCATGCACACAATATTTTGTTAAACAAAATTTTATTTTTTATTTTTGGAGACAGTCGGACTCTGTTGCCCAGGCAAAAGGCTTACCTCACAGCAAACTCAAACTCCCAGTTCTAGTGATGCACCTGCTTCAGCCTCCAAAGTAGCTGGGACTACAGGTGCCCTCAACACAAGGCCCAGCTAATTTTTCTATTTTTAGTAGAGACAGGGGTCTCAGTCTTACTCTAGCTAGTCAGGAACTCCTGAGCTTGAGGGATCCTTCCGCCTTTGCCTTCCGGAGTGTTAGGATTATAGGTGCGAGCCACCACACCTGGACCCTAATATGAAATTTTAAAATCTTGATTTGGACAACTTAATCTTTCCTTTTAGGAAACAATCTGTTATGTGTTATTGACGAAATCCATTTCTTGCCCCAAGTTTATCAAGATATTCTGCATTTATTTCCTCCCTGCCCCTCCCTCCCTCCCCTTCTTCCTCCGTTCCCCACCCTTCCTCCCCCACCTCCAGAGTGCCATGGTGACATCATAACTCACAACCTCAGACTCCTCAGCTCAAGTGATCCTCCTGCCTTAGCCTCTGGAAGAGCTGGGGAGCTATTACCACAATGCCCGGCTAATATTAATATTTTTAGTAAAAACAGGGTCTCACTCTTCTTTTTTTTTAGACAGTCTCAAGCTATCATCCTGGGCAGAGGCTGTGGTGTCACAGCTCACAGCAACTTCAAGCTCTTGGGCTTAAGTGATTCTCTTGCCTCAGCTTCCCAAGTATCTCAGACTACAGGTGTCCACCACAACTCCTGGCTATTTCTTTTTTTTTTTTTTGTCATTGTAGTTGTCATTGTTGTTTGGCAGGTCTGGGCCGGGTTCGAACCCACCAATCCCGGTGTATGTGGCTGTTGCCCTACCCATTGAGCTATGGGTGCCACTCAAGGGTCTCTTGTTCTGAAACTCCTGAGCTTAAGGGATATACTCCCATCTTGGCCTCCCAGAGTGCTAGGATTGTAGGTATGAGCCACTGCACCCAGCCTAAAGTATTCTGTATTTTCTCGCAAAAGTTTTAAACATTTGCTTTTCATATTTAGGTTTTTAAGCCACCTGGAATTTTGAGTGTTGTGTAAGACAGAGTCTGATTATTTCCTCTATATGGATAGCCAGTTGTCCCTGCATCATTCATTGAAAATACATCCTTGACTCAGTGCCTGTAGCACAGTGCTTACAGTGCCAGCCACATACACAGAGGGTGGTGGGTTCGAACTCAGCACAGGCCAGCTAAACAACTCCAACAAAAAACACTGGGCGTTGTGGTGGGTGCCTGTAGTTGCAGCTACTTGGGAGGCTGAGACAAGAGAATCGCTTAAGCCCAAGAGTTTGAGGTTGCTGTAAACTGTGACACTACAGCACTCTACTGAGGGCAACATAGTGAAACTCTATCTCAAAAAAAAAAATCCTTTATGTAGTCGTCATGCCTCCTCTATCATAATGGTGTTTTTTGTTTGTTTGGGTTTTTTTTGAGACAGAATCTCACTATGTCACCCTTGGTAGAGTGCTGTGATGTCACAGCTCACAGCAACGTCAAACTTGGGCTTAAGCGATTTTCTTGTATTTATTTGTAAGTATTTGGGACTACAGGTGCCCGCCACAGGTGCTGGCGCTACAGGTGCTGGCTATTTTTTTTTTT